TATACCACTTCTAAGAAAACCATTAAGAAAGTGAAAAGACAAATAACAGAATGGGCAAAAATATTTGCAAATCATATACCTGATAAAGGACTTGTATCCAAAATATATTTTTTTTAAATCTCTTAATTGCAACAATAAAAAGGCAACCCAATTTAAAAATGAGCAAAAGATTTGATAGACATTTCCCTAACAAATATATATATATATATATATATATATATATATATATATATATCCAGTAAGCACATAGAAAGATACTCAGTATCATTAGTCATTAGAGAAATGCAAATCAAAATCACAGTGAGATACCACTTTACACTCACTAGGATGGTTGTAATAAAAATGGTAGACAACAATGAGTGTTAGGAAGGATGTGGAGAAATTAGGACCCTCATGCTCTGCTGGTGGGAATGTAAAACAGTGTAGCCACTTTGGAAAACAGTCTAGCAGTTCCTCAAAATTTTAAACACAGAGTTACCATGTGGCCCATCTATTCCACACCTAGGTATATATTTAAGCAAAATGAAAACAAATTCACATAAAGACTTGTACATAAGGGTTCATAGCAGCATTATTTATTCCAAAAATGGAAACAATGCAAATATCCATCAAATAATGAATAAAGAAATGTGATATATCTATACATTGGAATATTATTCAGCCATACAAAACAATGAGATTTTGATACATGCTTCTTTTAACAGGGTTGAACCTTGAAAACATTATGCTGAGTGAAAGGAGCCAGACACAAAAGGCCACATACAATATGATTGCATGTATATGTAATGCCCAGAAGAGGCAAGTCCATAGAGACAGAAGGTAAATCAGTGGTTGCCAGGGGCTGGGAGGAGAGCAGAATGGGGAGTCACTGCTAATGAGTGTGGGGTTTCTTTCTGGAATAAAGGAAAAGCTCTGGAATCTAGTGGGGATGGTTGCACAACTGTGTGAAGTATGGCACCAATTTTATTAATAAAATACATATATGTACATATGTATATACATATGCGTATATCTAGATGGTGAAATAGTAAGTCATTTTGTGTGTATGTGCGCGTGCATGTGCGTGCACGCTTTTCTGTTCTTCCTTTCTCCCCCACCCAGAGAACGTGAATTATCTTTGTAACTTTAAAAATAAAACCTCTTAAAATTAGTTCAAATCAAATTCAAAAGCTGATATCTTACATTTCTCTAATAATCCTTTAAGTGACCAAATACAGATTACATTAATTTGAAATTCCAGAATAAGCAAAACTAATTTGTGTTGGGGAGAAAAATCAGAAGAATGGTTGCCTCTGGGGGGTGGGAGTAGGGAGTAGGAAAGGGCATGGGGGAATTTTCTGGGGTGACAAATTAAGAATGGTCTGTAAGTTGATAGGAGTTTGGACTACACAGCTGTATTTATTTGTCAAAACTCAGGGAATGTACAATTAAGATTTGTGCATTTCATTGTGTATATAAGCTTTACATTAAAAATACGTAAGCAAACATTGAACTCAAGTTAACGATAAGTATGCTGAAGTATTCAGGGTAAAATTCACTTTGAGATATATATTTTAAAAATACAGTGGATTAATGGATAAATAGAAATAATAGGATAGGTATGTGATATAGTAAAATGCCAATGGTACACTATAGATGGTTGGGTATGTGGGTATTTACTGCTTTATATTTGAAAATTTTCATAATGAAACATGGGGGAAGAACAGACCCAAGATGAAAACTTCACTATTTTCCGACTCCCCATACTCCACCTTCCCTACTTGCCTCTTTTCTCGCTGTTAGGTATTCCCACTTGATTGTGGAATTCATCTTCAGCCCCTACAAATCATTCTTGCTTTCCCTGTTTTTATCTAGGGTAATATCATTCTTCTAATTGTGAACATTTCTCAGAATAAAAATCACATTTCCTTCCTTTCTCCCATACCCTCTAATCCAATTAAATTCTTCTAATTTTCACTTTATAATGTCTCACTTCTTTTCCTGTTAGCACCACCTTAATTATGCACCAATTACCTGCATCCTAGTGGCATTTCCATGTAGAAATAGAGTGGTATAGCTAAGAAAATAATTCGCATGTAATTTGTTGCTCTGTGTCTTTTTACGTGCTTGCTATATAGAATGGTTTCTGATAGATCACTGTATTAGAATTTGCTTGGTTATTTAAGTCTTAAAACTGTGAATTTCAGCCTCACTTCCATTTAACTTGTATGTTAATTACTTGAAACAAGTTTTGGATGATTTAGAGTGTACACCCCATCACAGAAAATGGGTAAAAATTCTATACTACGATTGGCCTCTATAGACAACTGGTTCTGCTAAATGAACTATGCTACAATTGTCAATTATCCTGTTGGCAGCTATCTGACATCAATTCCATCTATTATTCTGCAGGTCCATTTTGTAATTAATTCATCTTAGAAGATTCACCAAGGAGTGAAATTGTTTATCATTAGATGCCCCATGGGTGGGTACTTCATTAACTTTTTTCCCCCCGATGGCTATGCTAGCTAGCCACTGGTTACATCAATCTTAAAATTTCCCCATGTTAAATTAATGCAGTTAAGATGTATGTAGTATTTCAGGGCCTCAGTTATCTCTGTATCTATATGTTGAAGTGGAACTTAGTTTCACAAGGAAGAACTCGTCTCAGTTGAAAGCATTTTCCCTACAGGTTAGGCATATTTTGGAGGCTTCGTTCTTAAAAGAACACCTTAGTCCTATTTCTCATTTGGTTGGCAAAGTACAAGGTCCTTTGGGATACATCTGTGTCTTACAGTCCTGTGTTAGCCAGTCCATCAAAAGTTTATGTAAATTGCTTTAAAAACATGCAGTCCATCAGTTCTCTCAGACATGTTAAACTTTATCCTCAGAGTAAGCCAGGTTATCAGGGAGCTAACAATGTAACTTGTCTCTAATTTTCAGTGAATTGCAGATCGGCTATATGCCCTTAGTTTATCACGAATCTATAAGAAAATGACTTGAATTCATGATTGGATACATTTATTTACAGCAACAAATTATTGAGTGCTTATTCTGTCAAGTAGTTGTGCTAGGCGCTGTCAGTGCATCATTTAAATTTAATCCTCCCATCCATCCCTCGGAGTAAATATCTTGATTTTACAGGTAAGAATACTGAAGCTCAAATAGGTTACACAGGTCAGAAATGGCAGTAAAAGGATTCAAACCCAGGTTTATCTGATTTTTAAATCAGATAAATCTGGTGGCCTTACCCATTAGGAAAGCTACTGGGGAATTTCTCCTATCACACTACAGAGCCTTAAGTATCTGTATAAAAACCTTGACAGGCATTTTTATCTTTAATCTTATTCCTGGTTTTATCTTCTTCCTACTTTTATCACTTCACTGATTTTCCTGAACTATTTACTTTTATACCATTGTAATAATATGTTTTTAATAAACTGCCTAAAATCCTTTTGGATTTATATTCCATTAAGGTATAGAGAAAAAGAAATTAAAAAGCCCCTCTGAAATCCTATAATTACTTTGATTGTCGGCTGGGTTTTCCTTGTGTTATTTGCCTTTATTACATTTTCTGGTTTATGTTCTAGTGTACACACTGCTTAAGTTATGAAATAATTGAGGAAAGCCTTGTATTTTAAACTGTCCTCAGGTGCTTCTCAACACAACGAATACAGTGTATCCCAGGCTTTGCAGTGAACACACATTTAACCTTGGTATAGACAATCAGATGTTTGAGGAAAGGATGGAAAGTACAGTTAATGAAAGTTCATAATAGAAGCGATTGTGAAAATTCCATTCATTTGCTCCCCAGCTTTGAGTGCAACAGGGTGTGACACAATTTGCAGAATCCCCAACAGTCTCCGTAACAGTCTACTTATTCATGCCCTGTAACCAGGTCTCTTTTCACTGTCCTTAATGAGACGGAGCATTTAAATATATAGACACAAATCTGCATCACCGGTCCACAATGTGTTAAGATTCTGTTCTAAAATCTTAAAGGTATTTCTTGTCTGCATTAGAAGGTACAAGTGATTTTGTAACAGGAGTTATTTTCAGAAGCTCCTCCTCTGTACCATGCTCTTTTCTAGATGTCCCAAGGTCTCTGTGTTCCTGACAAGCTGGTGTCAACTAGCCATTCAAAGAGAACATTCTGCCTCTGTGGTTTCAAGTGATTTTCTTGGTAAGGCTCAGTGTGGGCCAATACGAAGCACTGGTTTTCCCACTTATTCCCTTGGCTCTCTGTGTGGTGTTAGGGTGCCAAGTCTTCTGATCTCATCGCATTTTTTCCCTCTAGCAATGCTTTTGTTGTTGAATCTAACTTTTGCTGTTTTGCTGCGTCTTACCAAGGAACACGTTTTACACTTGCAGCCACCTTCACCTTTCAGAAGTGCTCTGCTCTAGCACCTCTGCAGCTAACAATTTCAGGGTTTCATTAGCTGAGACACAGAAACCATGTCCCACTTAAATTCCCAGATAGCCATTTGGCAAAATGAGATCTACTAGATTTAGGGTAAAGATGGAGGAGAAAGAAAAACAGATTAGGTATCATTTCATGCTAGTTATGTGAGAACAATGTTTTTGCTTCCCGATTTCCAGATTCAAATCGTTAGTGCAGCTTAAGTAGAAATATAGGAATGAGAGATATTACATAAACAAGAGAGGTTACATAAATATTTTTTGAAATTTTTTTTATTTCAAATTGTACACATAAAAAAAGACTGGGGCAAAGATTTATTTGTTTCCTTTTTATGTCATATTAACTCTTCAACTAACGTGGTTTCCTCTTGTTATAAAAGTGATGCAATTCTCTCAAGAATCTCTTCCTCTTTCAGGGATTCAGTCAAAATGTATAAGGGCCTGCACAGAAAGCTTTTATATGAAGTATGGTGATTGCGTATTTGGGAGTCAGAGGAGCCCAGTGAAGGGAGAAAACTATTAATGAAAGATAACAGGCAGGTTAAATTCCTACCATGCAACATTCCAGGGGTTTTACCTTTTTTTTCCTTATGTGCTTCATATTTAGAAAATATTTTTTTTATTGAACAAAGTAAATTTATTAAATAATTCAGCTTCCTACTTATACTTATCAACAACATACAAAGGGTACCAAAAAAATGTATAGTTTAAGAAAGAAAAAACTGTATTAAAATTGTAATACTCACTCTATACCGATAACAAAAGGTAAATACAAGGCATGTGTATACATATTTTTGACACCCCCAGTATAACTGCCAAATTAGATCAACATGCGATGACAACTGTTATGGCAAAGACAAAGAAGTCCAGTGATGAAACTTTACAGTGAGTAAATGTATGATTTTCATTAGATTTTTTTTTTTCAAAGTTTGAATATAGATTCCCGTTCTCTCTTTGGGCTGAAGGAGCCCAAACAGAAAGCACTGGGACAGAAAGTCAAGAGGGTGAGAAAACCATTGAGGAATGGAGATGTGGGCTAAGCGGGGAGCCATGGCCCTCCTCTCTCTGGCAGCTTCACCAAATTATTTACAAGTTTTTCATATTGGATATTACTTGTGTGTAGTAGTCCTCCCTTACCTGAGGTTTCGCTTTCCATTATTTCAGTTACCAAATATTAAATGGAAAATTCTAGAACAATTCATCAGTTTTACATTGCATGCAGTTGAGTAGCATGATGAAATCTCGAGCCGACCAGCCTGGGACATGAATCTGCCCTTTGTCCAGCATATCCACACTGTATACGCCACTTGCCCGTTAGCTAGTAGCCCTCTCAGTCATCAGGTTGACTGTCGTGGTATCACAGTGCTTGTGTTCAATAATCCTTGTTTTACTTAATAATACCACATTCACATAACTTTTTTTTAAAGTATATTGTTATCACTATTCTATCTATTAGTTATAGTTTTTAATCTCTTACTGTGCCTAATTTATAAATTAAACTTTATCATAGGTATGCGTGTACAGGAAAAAACACAGTATATATGCGTTTGGTACTCTCTGCACAGTATGTATGGGTTTCAGGCATCCACTGGGCTCTTGGAACGTATTCCCCTCAGATAACCAAGAACCTACCAGGTTTCAAGTTGGTCTGTTAGGTTACAACCAATGTTTGTATGACATCAATGAGCTCATTCGGGATCGGTTAATAGGAGAATGAACGCAAGTGTAACGTGGAGTTATTTTGGTTCCTTGGTGTGGGGCCCTGGAATAGCGGATGTAAAATTTTAACATTTAGCATGAAAGTTAGAAAGTTCTCCGCCAGGTCTATTTTTAGAGAAATAAAGGGAGTGCTTGCACCTGGGCGCCCCCCCAGTCTTGCATGACTCTGGGCCCCAGTGGGTTGCACTTCCTCCTGTGATCAAAGCTCCTCTTACACCTGCTTTGCTCAGCACTCAGAGGCAAATATTCGCATTTTATTGTTTTTGTGCATTTGTAACATCAGCCTCCACCACATGCTGAGCTGCCTGTCTGCTTGGCTGTCCAGGCCCTCTCTGGAGGTACCAATTATTGTTTTTGTTAGTGCTTTGCTTATAAAGATGTATAGGTTATGAGAGGTTTAATCCTAAACTTATTTTTACTGTAAGCTGTTCTTTTTTTCCTTTTTTTAAATTATAGTTAGTATACAATATTATATTAGTTTCAGATATATAACATAGTTATTCAACATTAATATCCCTAACAAAGTGAATAAGCTCTGTACTTTTTAATGAACATTTCTGCAAAAATACATCATTTTTCAGGAACACGTGTCTTGTGTTATAGTAGAAATCCTGTACTTTGTACTTGCAGATACTTAATAAATGCTGAGAGATTATTTACAATTAATTAACTATATCACAAGAATTTTAAACAGTGATTCCAAGGAATGATTATGTTGACAATGAACCAAATTATAAAAACTTAGCAAGATCAAGTGACTTTTCTAGCATAGAAAATCTTTAAAAATCATTTTAATTTGCACAATATATTCATCACTACTATTTTAGAGAAACAGATGTTAACTTTTCATTTTCGAAGATTGATGAACAATCATCCATTAGTTCTTGAAGCTGAATAACAGGAAACTGTACTTGTTTTTCAAACCATTTGGCAATTGCAAGAAGCTGCTGATCACAAAACGCACGTCCAATAAACTGTAGTCCTATTGGCAAGCCTTGGTTTGAGAGGGCCATAGGGACACTCACTGCCGGCAGTCCTGAGGAAAAGAAATAAACCCATTAGTTGATTAATTCTCCCTCCTAAGAAGCAGAGACCTTTTCCACTTTCCAGTGCTAGTAGGTCCATGACAGGATAAAGTTTAAAAAGTAACAAAAATTATATGATATACATGCTTTTGTACCTTCCTTTGTTCACTTAATGACATATCTTGAAAAATCACTACTATATATCAGTTCACAGAGAACTTCTTCATTCCTTTTATAGCTGCATAGTATTCCACTATGTGGGTTTTACCATAATTTATCCAACTGTTCTTCTATGGTTGGGCATTTAGGCTGTTTACAGTATTTAGCTATTTTACGCCATGCTCCAGTGAATTTCCTTGTGTACATGCTTTTTGGTATTCTTGAAAGTTGCTCAGATGAACAGAGATTGCTTCATAGAAAGATAAATGAATATGTAGTGAGATAATGCCAAATTTCCCTCCAAAAAAGTACCATTGTGAACTCCTATCAACAAAACGAGTGCTTTTTTCCCTACAGCCTTGCTAATAGAGTATATTGTCGAACTTTTGAATTTTTGCCAATCTGTTAGATAAGAAACAGTCGCTCAGGGTAGTTTTAATTCCAGGTTTGGGGCAGAGATAGTGCAAGATCTTGGGATGTCTTGTTATATCATAAAATAAGGAAGCTTTCATAAATTAATGGGGACTGGTTCAAAGGATACATACAATCTGAAGGGGCCCCTGTTGGCTAAATTGGGAACACTATGAGCATCAAAAACAATAATGACAGTAATTGTTTAAAATATATCAAATTAAAAAAAAGGAAGTGATTCTTTAGAGAAGACTGCTAACTAATACATGTAGAAGGAATGACAGAATTAGAAAAGTCAGCATTTTATAATTCTCTGGGTAATAATTCAGGCAGCGTATCATCAGTAGATGCTAAAACTCGGTTTAAGGTTATAGGGGAATGGGATATTCACATGGTCTCAAAGTATTGCTTTACAGAACACTTCACAAATTGCTTATAACTGATAAAAGGAAAAACCATTTTCTTACAAGGAAAACATCTGGCAGTTACTTCCTTAACCAAGGATTCAACCTAGTTTCTAAAAATGGAACAAACTAACATTAACTGTTTCCTGACATGAAGAGTGTAGTGTTTCTGCCAAAAGTGTTTAGCTAAACCATCATGAGGAGGGAATCTGACAAATCCAGGTTATGGATGGGATATCCTAGAGGACAAGTGGACTGGACTCTTCAAAAAAGTCAATGTCACGTAAAACAAAAAATTTTAAAGGTGGGGGATTGCTTATCAGAAACTAAGCAGGCCAGAAGAAAGTAGGCACAACATTTTTTAAGTGCTAAAGAACTGTAGAAACAGAATCCTATATCCAGCAAAAATCACCTTTAAAAATGAAAGGAACATCAAGACATGCTCAGAAAGAAAGTGAAGAGAATTAGTTTGCCAGCAGACCTACCCTAAAGGAATGACTAAAGGAACGTTTCTAAACAGAAAGGATATGATAAAACAAAGAATCTTGATACATCAGGGAGAAAAGAACACAGTAAGCAAAAGTATAGGTAAATATAATAGACTTTCATCTTGAGTGTTCTACATTGGGTTTCATGATTAAAACAAAATTATAACACAGTCTAAAAAAACCCCCAGAAAACTGAGGGGGCTGTTCTACATTTTAAAGACATCATAAACAAAAGTAATATATCAGGGGGGAAAAACAACTTATAAGAGACATTTTTGGTACAATTGATCATTTAATTTTATTAATTTAGAAAATTTAATTATTTAAATTAAAAATGTGAAAATTTAAATATGGACTATACTTGGTGTGTGACTGTACTTAGTTAATTTTCTTAGGTGTGATAATGGACTTGTGGTTATGTAAGAGAATGCCTTTATTCCTAGAAGATTCATGCTAAAGTATTTAGGGGTAAAGTAGCATGATGTTGAAACTTTCAAATTACTCAGCTAAAAACAAAGTGTGTGTGTGTGTGTGTGTGTGTGTGTGTGTGTGTGTGTGTGTGTGTGTGTGTGTGTGGAGGGAGGAAGAGAGGGAGGGAGGGAAGGAAGAAGCAAATGGGGCAAAATGTTAATAAGGATGAATCCAGGCAAAGGGCATATGGATATTCATTATACTACTTTTTCAACTTTTCTGTAAGTTTGAAAATTTAAAAAATTAAACTTAAAAAGTATGTTATTAAGTGGCTTGATTCTGAACGTGAGTGTGTGTGGTAAGTACGTGTGTGCATACACCACAAGGGCAAGCTACTGCCTTCAGGAAACAATCTAGCTAGAACCTAAGTTGAAGACCAGGGTGCCTGCTGAAAGTTAAAGAAAACCAGACGTTCTGGAAGGGCCCTCACCCGCCATATTTACGGCCTGTGTGAAAATGTCACCCTGGGCACTTCGCGTTCTGTTGTCCTCTTTGATGAACTCCAGGTATGGCATGGCCTCACTCAAGGTGGTGGGCGTTAGCAAGGCATCCACTCCAGAGTTAAACACATTCACAAAATCATTAGCAATGAGTCGTCTCACTTTCTGTGCTTTCACGAAATAATTCTCATAGTTTCTGTGGAAAAAAGCAGATATTTGAAGGGCGTCATGTTATTTCTTTGAATCAATTCTCACACATAAGGTCTATTAAAGAATCACTGATTCTTGGCCTTTATGAGCAGGTACCACTAAGATCCCTCACAACACATAAAAATGAATTTTGTTCATTTGTGCTGTCATTCGAAAAGTTTGTACATCTGGAATTTAATCAATCAGAATTCAGTACAAGATGCAATTCTGCACATATAATCACAAGATATTAACACGTCCAGGGACACCATGATATCAAGTGAGGAAAATCAAGTATAACATTTAAGTGACTTTCCACAGGTTACAAAGTTTGGCAGTGGTAGGACTAGAACTAGGTCTCTGGAGGCTCATTCCAATCCTCGATTATAATGTCTTATTTCGTCTATAGTATAATAATTAAAATTATTATAAGGATTCTGAAGTTCTGCAAAATTCTAATATGCCATCAGAATTAGACACTTGGAAACAGGCTCTGGAAACAAACTGGGCAAAGTATGCAGTGTTTGCAATTTTGTATTTTGTGGATAGCCACAGCGCAGGAATGGAAATGTGAAATTCAAGAAAAGACGCTTTATTACAAAGATTAAGCAATTAGCCAGACATAGGAGTGACTGTACGTCAATGATGCAAAGAAAGGGAAACAAAACGCTCTGTAGATCCTCCTGAAGCTGCTAACAAAGACTGGCAAAAGTACTAACCTTCCAACTTCAGTTTCCTCACCTGTAAAAATGGATGTAACACCAGCATTACTGCAGACCAAATACAATCAGCTAAAAATGGGAAATCTTTCTTACCCTAAAATAATGCTATAGAAATATCAGATGTCCTTACTATCATTTGACTATAGGGTGTGTGGAGACGAATGTAGGCATCACCTATAATTTATACAACAATAACACTGATGGACTAAATAAGGTGCGGACGAAAAAGGGGCCACATAGTAAACCTGACAAGCTCAGGGGAGGCCAGCATGGCAGGCTCTACAAACTCAGGAGACGGAAATTAACCACACAGGAAGGTCTGAACATAAAAATTCCTAAATAAAAGCTGGTTGTGGTGGGTAGTCACATCCTTGGCCTGTAGCTTCCTTGACAAAGGTCAATCTTTACCTTAAGTGGGCCTGTCTATTGTCTTTTTGCATCTAAGACAACACACACTTGGAATGTCAGAGTAATCCGCTTTTTCCGGACCCCTCAGGGCACACCCACTGTACCAGAGATCACAGAATTTCCTCATTGTTATCTTGTTCCCGAATACCATCTCTATTTGCTGTAAATGTTAATAATCATTAACTATTCTGTGCCCACTTGTGTAAAAGAAGTGTGTGTCTCTCCGTTTTACCTTTTATCCAATCCCAGAGATTTCCCTGCTCTGCTTTCTCCCACCCCCTTAATCTACCACCAATGGATTTCATGTAACCCTTCTTATGTCTCCTCCTTTGATTCTAATGCATAAAATAAGCTGCAAAACTGCCATTCTCCAGAGCATTTTCTATATCTGTTGCAATTTTGCTTTCCAGCAATTAGTTTGTCTCAAATAAACTCATTAAAGTTCTCTACAGGTTTGGACGTTTCTTACGTCAACAAATGTATTAACATCATTCCTCAAACCTGAATTTTACAAAAGAACAATTACTTCCATTTTCCACGAAATTTCTTCCTACTTTAAATATGGTTGGAAAGCAGAACTTCTGCTCCTATCAGTGATGCAGTAATAGGGATGGGACTTACCCTGCCATCTTAAACAACTAGCAAACAAGACAAAATGAAACCACCGTTTTCCGACATTAGGCAACAGGCATTCAGGAGAGGGTGGCCTGAGAGAAGGGAAGCAAGTAAGTGAAGCCCTTTGATTTCCCCAGAGTGAGGCCTGGATGCAGTTTCCAGGCCAAAGCCCAGAGAGGGGGAACCTCAACAGAGTTTAGGAGTGGAGGGAGGGGATTCTCAGGAAGTTAAGGCGATCAAGATCGGAGGTTCAGGGAAGCAAGGACAGCCAGGATTTGCAGGGCAGAGTACTGGACGGGAGAAAGCACACAGAGAGAGCTCAGAGGATTGCTTGAGTGTGGTGAGAATATTTAAGATCTGCGCCCTTAGCAATTTTCGAGTATATAATACAGCATTATTAACTACAGTCACCATGCTGTGCATTAGATCCCCAGGACTTACTCATATTATCACTGGAAATTTGTACCCTCTGACCACCATCTCCCCATTTCCCCCAGCCCCTAGACCCTGGCAACCACCATTCTACTCACTTTCTGTGAGCTTGGCTGTTTAAAAATGATTTGCATGTAAGTGAGGTCATACTGTATTTGTCTTTCTCTGACCTATTTCACTTAGGATAATGCCTTCACAAAATGGTTAGTAAACTTATAATGAAGACAGTCTAAGTGGGAGTCATAGTAATTTAGAATTATTTCTTGGAGCAAACATACACAATGGAAGGGAAAACAGTTGATTCACTAAATTTTTCAAGAGACAGCAATGTAACTTCCTGCTTAAGGTTCTAATAGCAATAAGCCAATGTGGCAATAATAGTCCAGGCACATTTAATGAGGCCAAAATCCTTTGAGACTTCCTATACTTAGTTTGTACTAATCATTTAGCTAGTGCATCAATGTTTTTGAATAACCAGGAACCAAAAGTACCATAAACAGGCCTTTAATTATGATTTCTAATTCAAACCATAAAGATTCTGCTTCTTTAGTAAATATCTCAACTTATAAGACCTGATAGACATACTACTTTACTCGAGTTTCAAGAATGCGGAAAATTCCTAAACTAATTATCTTACTCTTTTAATAAGAAAAAGTTTCCTGAGAGAATTCTTCCTCTCACCACATCATTAAACCCCTCTCGTCTGGTTGCAGCATACATGGCTTCAGTAGACACATCAATGTCACATCTGTGACCTGAAAACAAAAAAGAGATACACATTACTTGAAAAGTAAGTAAGTTTTGGCTGAAAAGCAGACCTAGATTCACATTTGTGACCGACAGTAAAATTTCGGGAGATTGCCCTTAATGGTTCCTCTTCTGTGTCTGCCTTGTGACTGACTGACCAGTCAAGAACCAAGGAGAGGGAAGAAAACAACCAAGAGGGAAACCTCCTTTGTTAACTCCCTCATTTGTTCATTCAAATGTTTACTGAGCTCCTATCCTGTGCTATGCACTACATTAGATGGACTGAGAATACAAAGATGAGACACTGTCCCTTCAAGGTATTCACCATCCAGAGAGATGAACCATACATACAGAGATATTTATAATGAATAGTGTAAGCATAATGCTAAAATAACAAAGGTAAAAGGATTCACTGATTTACTTCTCTAAATCATTAACACTATCTTTCTTAGGCAATAAGGTTTTTTTCCACTAATAAGTGAAACTTTCAAATGTTTGAGACAACTACCTTAAAAATCCCAAAAAAGCCATCTTACCATATTCCAGTCCGTCAAATCTTGCCATGTTCGATGCCACTTCCGATGTACATAATACATGGTAGCAGACAATTGAATAACTGGTGTGGGGCAGAGACACTTCAATTACTTTGGCCCCCACAGACTCAAAGAGGCTCGCGGCTTTGGACCAAAGGGATTGAACTTCACTTGATAATTCTGGTACAAGATATTCCTTATTGGAAAAAGTTAAGATACAGAAATTACAACATCTATATAGATTATTTTATAAAAATGTGTACTCCAGAAGCTTTGGCAATGCATTAGAAAATCTGATTAAATTGCTAGTAGGTAGCTAGAGAAATTGAATAATTTAAGAGTGTTTATGGCATGACAAGCATAGAGCCCTGAATATTATGAGCTAGATATAACAATACTAAAGATTAGAGAACTGGTTGGAAAACTTTCACTTGTTAAATGTTCATTATATGTCAGGTACTCTGCTAGATGCTCTTCAAAGGTTCTCTCAATTAATGCTTTTAACAATCCCATGGCATTATCATACTTAATTTTATTAATAAAAAATATTGAAACTAAGGAAGTAAATGTCCTAATGTTACATAGCAAGTAAAAAGAGGATCTAGGATTCCAAAGTAAGTCCATTTCTACAACCTGCACTCTTTCTAAATCCTTAAGAAAAGGCACAGCTATTACCTTAATTGAAGATTTTAAAGAAAGGAGTATTTCTCTATAGCAGTAGTCTTAACTAGGGCCAATTTTATCTTCTTCCTCTCAACCGGGGACATTTGGTAATGTTTGGAGACATTTTTGGCTGTGAGGTGGTGGTGGTGGTGGGGGAGGCGAGGGTGCTACATCTAGGGGTAGAGGCCAGTGATACTGCTGAACACCTTACAAGGCATAGGACTGACTCCCACAACAAAAAAATGACTGCTAAGCTTAAAATTAAGAAAAATTTTAAAGGTCAGTAATTTAACATATTTACTTTCATGTATGAATGACTCAATTGCTACTGTAATAAATGCGGTAGTAATACTAGTAGTAATAATAATAATACTTATTGAGCCTTCACTATGCAACGTATGGCTCTGGGCTACAACCTTACATCAGGGATTAGTAAACTATGGCCCATGAGCCAGATGGACTTGCCAGCTACTTTTGAAAATAAAGTTTTATTAGAACACAGTCACACTCTTTCACTTACATATGGCCTATGGCTGAGTTAAGTAGTTATGATAAAGACTGTGTGGCCCACAAAACCTAAAATATTTACTGATTGACGCTTTACAGAAAAAGTTTACAGACCCCTGCTTAACATGATTATCTAATTATTTTTATTGTGGTATAACTGACATACAACATTATATTAGTTTCAGGTGTACAACATAATGACTCAATATTTGTATGTATTAAGAAATAATCACCACAATACGTCTAGTTAACATCTATCACCATACATAGTTACAGAGGTATTTTTTTCTTGTGATGAGAACTTTTAACATCTACTCTATTAGCAACTTTCAAATAGGCAATACAGTATTAACTACAGTTGCCACGCTGTGTATTACATCCCCATGATTCAAACCCCACCACTCTCTGAGATCAATATTGTTATTATCCAGATTGTTATTTTACAGATAGGGAAATTGAACTTGGAGAGATTAAGCCATGTGCTCAGGTCGCATAGCTAATAAAAGCGGCAGAGCAGGGATTCAAAACCAACCAGTCTATTTCCCAAGTCTGTGCTCTGTACTTGACACTATTTCTGTAAAGTAACGGAAGGAAGAGTTACCTTCGGAATTCCTATGCATAGTTTGCTCACGTCTGTCAAATTCGGAAGCATAAATGGTTTAACAGGGTCTTGTATTGTGGTAGAATCTTTGCAGTCATGCCCAGCCAGTACACCTAAAAAGAAAAGTACTTGTGAGTGACAGACAGATTGTTTTACAGTGAAATTGTACTATTTTGAAGCTGTATGGAATCATATAAATACCCAACACAACTGCTGCATCATCCACACATCTGGTTAAGATTCCCGGCACGTCCATTGAGTTCACCAGGGGAATGAGACCATGACGAGAAACTAAGCCGTAGCTCGGTTTTAAACCAACAACCCCGCAGTGGGCAGCTGGATTCCTGGTGGATCCTCCTGTGTCTGATCCTAAAGCCCTGGAATTTAAACGGATTCTCTTTAGAAGAATGACGTGTCTCTAATTTTATTTGGAATCCACCTTTGGAAATGTGTATTTTTAAATTGTATTACACAAAAGTAAAACATGCTCGTCTCAGAGAATTCTTAAAATATAGATAGAAAAGGGTAAGCGGTAACAAAATATCCCACCATCCTGAGGCAAAAACACTGTTAACATCTGTCATATTAACTTCAAGTTTTTCTTGAAATGCATTTTTCTTTCATAGTTCAGGTCATTTTGGAACCATAGTTCCCATCTCTTTTTTTGACTATCATGAGCCCTTCACTATGCCATTAAAATTACTAAGAATTTAAAATATGTATACTATTCCATTATATCAATTGGCAATTTCCAGTATTTTAAAGTCCATTCTCTCATCAATATACATACAACTCTTACACCTTCCTTTAATGGCAATTTTACAGTATGCTTTTACCAACTAAACACACCCCTCCCAGAAACTCAGGTACAGCCTTTCTGCTACCGCATTTAGAATCATGGATAGAAATGCACTTTATTTAAACATTTATGTTGTTGCCAACTAGGATATTAACTGCATAATACTTTGTAAAAACACCTTTAAACATAAATCTTTGCCCATGTATCTGATTATTTTTTAGGCTAGCTTCCAAGAAGTAGAGTTGATGGGCCAAAGTGTCTGCCTTTTATTATCAGTTCTTAATATATATTGTCAAATTACTTGTCAGAAAGGTTATGCCAATTTATATTCCCAATAACAGGGAATCAGATTATGTTTAATGTTTCATTATCATCACTGAGTACTAGTTCTAAAAATATGGTTAATTTGATAACCAAAAAACTTCGTTAGTGTGCATTTTTAAATAACTTTTCACATTTATTTGTATTTGCATTACCCAACTATGAAGTGTCTGTTCATTTCTTTGCCCAGGTACCTAAAGAGTATATGTTTTTCTTACTGAAAAAAAAAAAAAAACTTTGAGAACATTATGACAAGTGAAATAAGTCAGTCACAAAAGCAAAACTACTGCATAATTTCACTTATATGAGGTACCTAGAATAGTCAAATTCATAGAAATAGAAAGTAGAAGTGTTCCAGAGGTTAGAGGGACAGACAAATGGAAAGTTATTTTTTAACGAGTTCAGAGTTTCAGTTTTGCAAATGAAACAAGTTCTTCTGGCTGCACAACAATGTGCATGTATTTAACACTACTAAACTGTACACTCAAAAATGGTTAAGATGGTAAATTTTGTTGTGTATATTTTACAATTAAAAATTTAAAATTTCAAAATATTTAAGAAAAAAGGTTTTTCTGATTAGAAAAGTGTACATGCCTACTATTTAATTATATAAAATATTATATAACTATATAATATAAAGTGAAATTTGTTATAATTACTGCCCCATAAAAATTCAGTTATCAATTTTGATATACATTCATCCAGAAACTTCCATGCAACTAACATATATACATATGTAATCATTACTTTTAATAAAAATAAAGTCATGCTATACATACTACTTTGTAAATTGTTTTCCACTTAACAGTGTTTTTTTGGGTATCCTTCTATGTCACTAGTACTCTAGCTCATTCTTTTTAGTGGTGAACAGTATTCCAAGAATCTCCCTGTTTTTAAAACTATTATAAAAGAAATGAGTCAAAAGGGGAGGAAACGAAGCAGAACACTTGATGGTTTGGGACTCATTCCATCTGGAGTGACTCTGGCTGGGTCTGTGCTTCTCTTGACTACACCCAGAGTGAAGCAGCTCTGCACTGAACAGGGCTTCCACCAATCACATGGCCCTCGTGGTTTACAGAAAATGCAAATTAGATTGCCTTTCTTACCAAGTCCATTTGAGCCACAAAATCAGACTGTTGTTTTCACAATTTCTAAAAGGATACATTTTCTTATTAGGATTCACTGACGGTTGTTTAAAAGTAAAACTTACATTTCTATAGAAATTATGTGTCAAAATGCCATCTTCTCAAAGCACTTTCAGAAAGATGAATACTAAGTGGGGTGATGAAGACAGAAAAAAAAGCACCTAATCTATTGCAGTCCTAACTTGTCAGAACTCCCATTAATATTAATGCAGTGTTATAAAATTTCACAGAGATAAAATGAAATGGTTTTACTTGTTAACAAGATTTCAGGGAAACTAAAAAAAAATAAATTGTAGAACTTAAATCCCATAGCTCTAAAAAATGTAAATAATTTATTGCTTGCAGTGTCTGTGAAAGAGCTTAGTTTCAGTGGATAATTAAGGAGAGATAAATATAATAACAGCAATATTTATTTACTCTTCTTTAGGTGGTTAAGAAATGCTTTATAAATGGGACTTAAGACATAAAGCATGATTGATGCTTACTAAATACAAAATATGACAGTGGAACAAATCAGCTCCCTTGGAAAACCTTTACTTACTGATATATATTTTTGTTGTGGATTGATGGAAACACTATTTTAAATATCCTATTGACACATAGTAGGAGCACTTTTTTTTTTTTTTTTACAAAAGTCAGATTTCACTGAGGGATAAACCATAGCTAACAATTTAGCTCAGCAGCACTCAGCTAAAGCCATGGTATGTTAGTCCCTAAATATTTGTACAATCGGTAAGCTGACACCCAAATAAATTATTTAAAAAATGAAATTCAATGAAGTCCATTTATGCTAACTGGTTTATTTCGCAAGATCCATAAAGTCATGTTTTAAAGAAAACTATATACAATAGAGGGAGAGTTTAAATGTTATCTTAAAGTTAAATGTATAAAATATACATAAGTGTACTGTACAGTTGAGTGTATTTATAATATAATTTTGATACACCATTGAGCACAATAGCTCACTGAAAAGAAAAATACCAAGGTACGAAGTTCCCTATTGTTGGATTTTGCCTGTGGTTTACGACTGTTTGTATTGGGTTGGGTTTTAAAGTACAGAAGGAAAAAAGCATCTTACGCAAAGCAGGTGAACGCTGATACGGCCGCCGCACTCCCCCCTGAGCTTCCTCCAGTTATAAGCCAATCTGAATCCTCGTTGTCACCATGGGGCTTCTGCTTCCTCTTTTCTCTATATTGTTTGGAAAAACTCCAGGGGTTTTTAACTGGTCCGAATATACCATCTGTGCTTCCACATCTGAGATGAAAAAGTGAGGCAAGATACTTAATAAAACTTTCATTTTATGTGAAATTCTCATCTCATTATTTGCTTCTGACACTGTATATAATCAACTGTAAGTTGAATTGAAAAAGATAGATAACTTTCTTTAATTAGATGGTTAAGGAGGTGGAGGATGGGAAGAGCATTTGTGGTAGAAAGTAGAGAAAACTGGTCTGCTAAGAAATGAGGAATTTTTTTTATCCGATTTGATCATCTAATTCAACTTAAGATAGTTTTCCTTGTAAATTAAGGTCTTCCAGTTAGAGTGTCACAAACATTCAGTTAACAAGTTTTTTCAAGGAATACTTCTTTTAATCAGAAGTCTTAAGGAAAGCACTATAAATGGAATGCTAGTAACTTATTTTTAAAATTTGGAAATAATTTCAAGCTTACAGATAAATTACAAAAATAAAAATAGTATGAAAAGAGCTTTATACCTTTTACCCAGATTCACCTATTGTTAACATTTTACCTCATTTGTTTTATCATTTGTGTGTTCTGTGTGTCTGAACATTTTTTTTTTCCTGAACCATTTAAGGGTAAATTATATTGTTATGACCCTTTACCCCTAAGTACTTTAGTATGTATTCAGTGTTTATTTCCTAAGACTAAGGGTATTCTCTTATACAGTCATAGTACAATTATCAATCTCAGTAAATTAAACATCAGAAGCAATACTTTAATTTACAGTACATAATCCAATTTTGTCAGCTGATTCAATAATGTCCTTTATAGCATTTTAAGCCCTCCCAGTACAGGATCAAGTCTAATCAGATATTACATTTAGTTATCATTGTCTCTGTAGCCACTTTTTTTTACTTTTTTAATCATTCACCAGTCAATGGACACTGAGTTATTTTCAGTTTTTGGCAATCTGAATAAAGCCACAATAAATATTGTACTGAAAGGCAGTCAGTGCTTTGGTATAAACATAAGTCTTCATCTCTTGGGTAAATACCCAGGACTGAGATTGCTGGGTCACATGGTAAGTGTATGTTTAACTTTATAAGAAGCTGCTAAACTACTTTCCAAAATGGGTGTGCCATTTTGCATTTCCTACCAGCATTGCATGAGAAATCCAATAGCTCTGCATCCTTTTGTCGGCACTTCATATTGTCATTTTTTAAGCCACTCTAATAGGTGTATCTCATTGTAGTTTTAATATGTATTTCCCTAACGACTAATTATGTTAAGCATTTATGTATTTATATGCCAACTGTTTATCTTCTTTAATGAAATGTCTACTTACTTCTTTTACCCATTTTTTAAAAAAAATTGAGTAGTTTTTTTACTAAGTTGGAAAAGGTTCTATATATCCTGGATACTAGTTCTTTCTCAGATATATGTTTTGCAAATATTTTCTCCCAGTCTACAGCTTGTTTTTTTGTTTTTTAACAGTATATTTCTAAGTACAGAAATTCTTAATTTTAATAAAGTCCAATCATTTTTTTATTTTATGGATTGTATTTTATGTGTCCTAAGAAATCTTTGCTGAACTCAAAGTCACAAAGATTTTCTCCTATGTTCTCCTCTGTTTGAGGTTTTATGTTCTTTAACCTGGAACATTTTCACAGCCTTTGTTTTCTGATGTTGACATTTTAGTAGAATATTCTCATTTCAGATTTGTCTTTTGTTTCCTTGTTATTAGCTTTGGGTTATACATTCTCAGCTGGAATGCAGCACAGGTGATCCTGTGTTCCTCTCAGGGAGTCACATCTGGGGGTTCACAATGTCCACTTCTCCCTCACTGGTGATACTCATTTTGATCAGCTGTTTCAGGTGATGCCCTAATAACCTATGTTTGAGTTTACTCCCATGGATTAATCCATTCACCATAAATTCACTAAGTGCAAAAAGAATGAAAAGACAGGCTAGGGTCTTGGAGAAAATATTTGCAAATCACCTGTGTGATAATGGACTTGAATCTAGAATACGTGCTTATATATGAAAGAACTCTTACTACTCAACAAGACAAACAACCCAATAAAGATAAAGGGCAGAGGGCAAAAGATTTAAATAGATTCTTCACTAAAGAAGATATATGGGTAGCAGAACAAACATACCATGTTTAACATTGTTAGTCATCAGGGAAATGCAAACTAAACCAAAATGAGATATGACCATATACCTATTAGACAACAGAACATAATCTCACAGAGGGAGTGAGAAGCTGGCATTAGAGTCCTTAAAAAATCACCTCACTACTTTTAGGGACCTATATTCAATGAAATTAAAGACACAGATGGAAGAAATATAGGAGAAGAAAGTTTCAATTTTACTTACCCCATAGCAAACTCATCTAAGTTTGTTTTTCCCATTAGAAGAGCACCCTGATCCAATAATTTCTGAACTACTGTAGCATTAAAAGGTGGTACATAGCCTGGAAAAAAATTCAGCTATTTTTGTTATAGGAGAAAAAACAGTGAACATGTAAATCATATTCAAGAAACAAGATTTTAGATTGCAATTAAGGAATTTATATTGACATATGTTAATTATTCTTAATTTAATTAATAGGTACTTTCTTTCAAAAGTTAATTTTTCAACTGCTATGTTTTCCAAAGACAGTCTATATATTCACTATTTTTATAATCTAAAAACTTTGATTTAAACAGTACTTGAAAATACTGAATGATAGAGATGTACCCAATTCATTTGAAACTAATCACAAATCATATTTTTGCTCTTTGTCCTTGACTTTTTCTTCTCAGATGATACTATATCACAGTCATTTTTATCCATTTCCAGTCAGAAATAGATTTTTATTGTTACCAATTAAAATTTTCTCTATCTAGTGTATATTCCAAAACAATTAACACCAGTCTCCCTATCAGAGGAACCTGGGGGCACACACCTCAGAATATTGCTTTTAGTGTGTAGTACTCTGAATGACCTTCTTCCATTTCATTTTCCTCTAGGATCTAGATATCTTGATAAACATGATTCCTTTTTTTTTTTTAGCTGAGCCATCCTGCTACCTGTTGGCAGCTCAGCGGCTGCTCAGCTCGGGCTGGACTCGAACCGCTGTTGCTCAGAGCTCAAACTCTTGAGCGAGCTCTTAACCAACTGAGCCACTCGGCCGGCCCAACATGATTCCTTTTTGACCTACTAAACTGTAAAGAACAAAACTAAGCATCACTATACTCAGATAAGTACAGCGATATAAGCGGCAGAAGAGTCAGGAAATAAAAAAACAACAGGACAGTAGATGCTAATGATTCATCACACCATCCTCAAGAGAGGGGTAATGACAGCCCCTTGATACTTGTCCCCATGTTATCAGTGAGTGGGAGGTAGAGGTCGCTTGGTGTTTGTGGTGATCAGGTACTGAAACTTCCTAAATAGGATTCATCCATTAAGCTGGACTGCCTCTAAAGAATAATTTTGCATTGTGAAAGAGCAAATAGTAAAAAGGCAATATTCCATCCCAAGCATTTCCTTTGCAGATATAATTAGTCTGAGAATACCTTGGTGCTTTAGTATCTTATCTTTAATTTAAACTGAAAATGCTTCCTTTTATAAAACTATTAATGCTCTGATCAGTTAAACTTTACCTTTCAGCATGTTTGATGCACATGTTGTCTCAATGCCAGACGTGCTAAAGTTGTCTTTTACAGCAACAGGAATTCCATCTAAATCCCCAAGTGAGTGACCTGTAGTAAAACCCCAAAATAGAAGATATACCTAGCACAAAATATAAACACACACCGATATAGTTATTATAATAACTACTAGTTTTTGGTCAAGATACTTCTTCAGAAACCACATTTTTGTTAGAAATTATTACCGTTGGACAGTACAAAGCGTCACATATCCAATCATTTTCGTTATACCTCATGGCAAGTTCTTTATGTTTAAAGAGTCACTTGCCAAGTGGAAACTGCTATATCCAGTCAAACTCTTTCTCTAGGGATATAACAATTAAGTGTAATTCAAAGTAATTTACCTTTCTTGTATCTTTTCTCTGATTCTTCAGCTTGCTTTAAGGCCACCTCTTCTGATACAGTAATGTAAGCGTTTAGAAACTTGGTCTTCTTGATAAGAGAGAGACATTTCTGACAGAGCTCAATTGGAGTAATCTGGCCTTGTTTCAGCGCCGCAGAAACCTATATACAATTCAAAAACCCTTTGCTGAGTCTGCAGAAGTTTCAAAGATTACACTGACAGGGGCAGATAAAGTGGTTAAGCATAAAATTTTGAAGTGAAGCTTGGATTCAAAACTAAGAGAACCGATCAATTCTACACTTAATGTAATGAAGGGGGGAAACACACGATCAGCTTGAAGACAGGTTGGAGGGCACCACATTCACAGCCCTATAAGGAACTTTGTTTCTAAGTCAGTCTTGGACAAATGAGAGCAGTGGTTTAGGTATGCCACCCTGTCTAGAAGTAGAGGCCCAGCATGGGTGAACATGGGTTAGGGTAGATTGTGTACTGAGAGTAGCTTAGTTGCAACACAGGCAGGCCATAGTGGAAAAAAAAGAGAAATGAACTGGACACGGCATTACAGGATTTTATGGATCTAAATGATCTTTATTAAAATACAGCTTTATATTTACATCTATTGTGGAATTCAAGCAAAAGCCATTACAAATTGAGAAATGCTTATAAAACATGGGTTCAAAAGCAAACTAAAAACCAACTTTTCTGAAATCTTGTCTTTGCTGCATTAGGAAGGCTAGTAAAGACAGCATAAAAATAACTGCACCACCAGTGACCAGAGCCTGTATACTGATAGTAAGTGAAGCCTGAGGTGAAGTAATAACTATTTAATACTTCCTATAGGAAGTAATAACTACTTACTTATCAGATAAAAGGAAATGAATAACAAAGAAGCCACAGAGAATATCAAATCTTTGGAGGTAATATGAAAAAAGAGTTAGATGAGATGGGAGCTGAGAGACAAGAGGGGTGGGTGAGAAGTAAAATATTTGAGTATTTACCAAGAGCCAGGTACTGTTGTTGGCTTTACATGCATTATTAATTCACTAATCCTTAAATCAACCACAGAAGTGAGGTATTAACATCCTTTTAGAGATAAAGAAACTGAAGCTCAGAGAGGTTAAGTGATTTGTCCCAAGTCACACAAATAGTAAAGGGCAGAGATAATTTCTTAACATATGCTCCTTCACCATTTCTCTCTGTACTAGTGGAAATTTAGTTTGTCCTCTAAGTTGACTGTATTTTCACATGTCCTAGACATAAAGCAACAGGAGCTTGCATTTAGAGGAAAATCTGCAAATGATACACTCTCAGCTGTTGAATAAATCATCAAAGCAGTGGTGGTACTCTTAGGGCTGAGGGTTTTAAATGAGAAAAGCTATGGGAACAGGCCATCAAGAGGACCAACGGACTTGCATTGGGGGGGGGGTTTGGGGAATGATTCAGGGATGGGGAGGGGCTGCTGGGTTTGACTTAAAGGAAGTAACCCTATAACAAGAAGAGAAGGTTCTGTACAGTGGTTTGTATGAAATGTGAAATCTTTAGGAGCTGGAGAAAAATAAAAGATAGCAGTGTATTCTAATATTGTACATATGGAACGAGAAAAAAGGAGACTGTGGTAGGCTGAGTGTAAGTCAGAACAAGCAAAAACCGAAAGCTAGAGAGACAGAGAGGTATCTAGGCAGGCCTATCCTGTGGTGACGTTGTAAAAAGGAGGAAATCATGTCTGCCCCTTTCTCTCCTTCTCTGCTGCAAGTCCCCTAATGCCTACTATCCCTCAAGCTGCTTTCCGACTTGCCAACTGGGATGAGAATAAAAGGAGTTACAGTTGTGGTTACAAGGGCAAGAAATATGATTGCTTGGGGGCACTCATTTTAAATGGTGCTGGTTTTTGATAGGACCATTTTTAGGAAATCCAGATTTGAGAAAATCAGTTAAGGGAACTGGAGAAGGGAGATGAAAACAAAGATGCTAATTAGCTAGAGTGGACTGAGCATAAGGAGTATAAGATATAAATAGTACAGCTCTCCTGAGACAAAACTAAAGGTGTCATATCTGAACATAAAATGAAATCAAACGTAAAAGTTTTCGTTAAAAACCAAATTCTCTCTCCCTGGCACTTCTTTTCTCTAATGGAAACTAGGCTTCTCCCTGAGGCCATTGCTTCTCCTGCAGCTTTCTCAAAGGATGGCTGTTTTAGTGCCTGGCAACCGTGTCCCATAGAGCCCAGTGGGAGAAGGGAGAATGCGCGGGCAGGCAGCCTCCTCCTTCTCTCAAAACCCCCAGCTCATCTGAAGCGTGGGGCTTGGAGATGCTCTTCCTCTCCCTGTGTGTTCCTCTAGTTTCCCTGGTACTCCTTGTCATGCGCTGAGGATTTTAGCAGCTACCTCACTATGGCCTTCTTCGCTATGGCTCCTGTTGCTACTTTTGTTGACTTCAATCTTCAAGTCATGTACACCGACATCTGGCTTCCCTCTCAGTTCCAGACCTCATCCCAGTTACTAAGTCTCATGGCCACAGCCCAGACTACATCATTACCATTATCTGTATAACCTCCCAAACCTCAATTCTAGTTATTCCACACCTCCTGACCCCCAAGATAGAGGCTTTATAGTTCATTTAATCTTTACATCCACACTACGGGGCTGATATTATTTTCATTTTACAGATAAATTACTGAAGTTTCTGCTTGAAATCACATGCCAGGACGTAGCAGAGCTGGGATTCAAACAAGGCCAGATCTTATTTCCAAAGCCCATGCTTTGGACCACTATGCTACTTCTCTATGCAAGGTGTTACAACATTTACTACTCTGCAACAAAGCGGAGAACATTAACTTTACAGAGAGCATCAAAAGATCACTTAGGAAAAGAACTGTTTTTTTTAAAAAAAGTCTTGATAGATGCTCATAGGAGAACCCTTGAGGGCTTAGTGTCCAGTTGACTTGTACCTTTAACACACTCATTTAACATTCATGTTTTTGTCTCCACTGTTCCAAGAAATAGCATGTCAAGATCACCAGCTACCTCCACATTCTCAAATCCAATATCACCGCTCAGTCCAGCAGCATTCAACGTAAGAGATCACTCTCTCTTTGAAGCATTTCTTCACTTGTATCTCAGGACACCAAGCCCTCCTGGGTTTCCTCTTGTCTTAGTGGACATTCCTTCAAGTCTCTTGCTGGCTCTGCTTCCCACTGCTGACCTCTAACTGTTGGAAAGTTGTAGGCCTTCTACTTTTACCCTAAACTTCCCAGGTGATCTCATCTGGCCCTCTAGCTTAAATGATCTACACTGTTGTCAATTTATAGCTTTATACCTAGTCTCTTTCTTGATCTCCACACGCCTACATCCACCTGCTTACCTGACATCTTCACTTGGATATCTAGGAGGCATCTTAAAATCACCACGTCCAGAACAGGAATTTTGATAACATTAGCATCACAAACATGCTCCCTTTAGTCTTTCCATTTTGATAAATGTTACCATTACCCTAACTGCCCAGGCCAAAAACCTAAGCATCCTCCTTAATTCTTCTCTTTCCCTTAAACTCTTCCCTTAAACCATCCAATCTGTCAGCAAGCTCTAACTTAAAAAGCAATACCCACTTCGCATTACCTCTACTCCCACCACACCATCCATGCTGCCATCATCTCTTGCTAAGGCAACAGCCTTCTGATTGGTCTTCCTGCTTACTCATTTGCCTTCCTAGATTATAATCCTTAAGAGTAGCCCGAAGGAGCTTTTTAAATTTTAAATCAGATCATGTCCACAGACTGACAACTTTTCAGAGGCTCCTCATTACACTTAGAATAAAATCCATACTTCTTACAGTGGCCTAAAATGTTCTCCATGATCTGATTCCTGCTTATGTCTCTAACCTCATCTTCCACTATTCTCCTCATTCACTTCTCTCTGGGCGTGCTGGCTTTCTTGCTATTCCTTGAACATGTCAAGCCTGCTCTTGCTTCAGGCTTTGCACTTACTGTTCTCTCTGCCTGAAACACTCTCTCCCAGATCTTTCTAGGGCTCACCCTTTGTATCCTTCAGGTCTCTGTTAAATATCACCCACCCAGTCAGAGGAACCTCCCCTGACCACTCCATCTGAAACATTCAGCTGCCCCAGTTAATTCTCGCATTTCTTTATAGCACTTAATACTATGTGGAATATTATTTACATAAAAAAGCTTATTTAATGCCTGCTTCCCCACAGAAATGTAGGTTTCATGAGGGCAGGAGCTTCTTTCGACCTTCAATGCTAAACCCCAGTGTCTAAAACATAGAAATGCTCAATAAGAGTTAGTTGAATAAATAACTGAGCTGTTTAAAATTTGGAATCAGTTTTCTCATGGAACAATAATTAAATGGTCTTAGGCTAGACCCCCAAGCAGCCTACTGGACATAGTATTAAACTTTAGGATTAATAATATTAGCCTGGTGTCTGGCTCCTAGAAACACTGGGATCATGCCACAGAAAAAGGTAAGACTCCTCCCCCTTCCTGAATATACCTGGGTAAAATTTACAAGTAGGAGTTTTACCTCCTATTTGGCCCTGTACCTCCTTTTAGTGTTTCCTCCCAGGGCTCCTCTGTTGTCCTAAGCCTTCACTTAGGTCTCCCAAATTGCCTCAAAACTCCATAGGTTCTAGCCCTTCCCCTTAATTTCATCCTCAGCAAATTTTCCCTTTCTTCAATTGATTATCTCAACTAGGGTGTGATGAATGAGAGAAATTTGATTGAACTATTATAATTTACAACAATGGATGAATAAATCGTTTAACATTTCCAGGCATCTTTACATATTTAAAATAGAATGTGTACTAAATTAATTTATAATTGTTAGCATTTGGGCAATGGTACAATGATGTACAAAAAATACAGGTGGACAGAAGATATATTTTGGGCTGGGAAAATGACCACCAAGTAATGTTTTACACACAGTAGGTGTCAATAAGTATTTGTTAAAGGAGTGATTAAGTGAAAGTAATCATGCCAGGGCAACCTCCCCTCTACCTTGGGTCAGTTCCCCTAAATGTTTTTCTTTTTTTTTTTAACCCATGGAGGTAAAAGTCATTTTTCACAATGGCTCACACAACAGCAGGAAGGAATGGCACAAAAATGGTGGTGCTAAAAGAGAAAGGGCAGAAAAAGAAAATGCCACATTTTTAAAGTTGTATTTCATTTTAAAATAAGCTTTTGATTTGTTATTAAAAAAAAAAACAAATAGAATTCTTCACTGGCAGGATAGACCAGATGCAATTTAAGATGGTAAAACAATAATTATTTTGGGGAAGAATTATTTAAAGCCTGTGGACTTAAAAAAGCTCTCATTATACTTTATAGCTTTCTAAAACGCTGCCAGCTGGGAAGAAAAAAAACTTCTCAGGTGAAGATAGAAAGTAGGGTAGGTCCTCAACCCCTACTTGTCAAGCAGAATCATCTGGAGACCTGGTTAAACCATATATTCTGGGCCTTACCACACAGATTTGCCTCAGTGGAACACAGCTGTAGTTTTATCATGGTCTGGAGGTGATTCTGATAGCAGTAGGCCTGCGGACAGTTATAAAGACTGAGAGATCTGAGCCAGGAAGCAAGGAGATCTGAATTAAAACTATCAGCAGGGATAAAGCAAGAGAACACATTCCAGACATAATTTCAAGGCAGAATTAACAGAGGTTAGTGATTTATTGGATGTGCCAGATAGGAAGAATCTAAGGGCAACTAGGATAACAGTTGTCCCATTAATAAGAGATTATTAAGAATTCAGATATCAGGTTTTGATTTGTTTTTTAAGATGGAGGTTGAGAGGTTGTCTGGTTACAGTGATGAAGTCAACTTTGGTTAAATTGAGTTTGAGGTGCTTATGGGGCATTTGGAAGAGATGCCCAGAGCACATTCACAAATACAGTCTAGAGTTAAAAAACGACTTCCAGGGAACGCAGACAAGGATAAAGGAATGATTGGTATCTTGGCGGTGGCTGAAGCCTAGAGAATGAATATTTTCAAAGGGGAAAAAAAAGCCAAAAAGCATTAGTTTGGCTTTTGCAAGAGACGGAGTTGCTGGGCTCCTTAGATCTGCATCAGATGAGTGTTGGGGCCAGAAGAAGGCTAAATGGGACCAGCAAAATTCCCCTTATCTGGCAGAAGCCCACTTTGAGACGATGGGGTCGTGACGCAGCCTGAGCAGACGTCTAATTGAGAAACCCGTGTACATTTCCACCCCACAGCTCCACGGTGAAGTCTCCCCTGTTGTGGTCCTAACTGCAGAACGGGTATGGACAGTACAGCCTAAGCCCCCAAAGGTCCGAAACCTCCACCCAGTTCCAGGGAAGGAGGCGGAGAGGCTGACCGGGATGCGTGGTCAGGCCCGCGGACTCCATATCACGGACTCCGCGAATCTTCCCGACCCTGGGCCCTCAGCAGCGAACTGCACTCACTTCTCGGAGGGTTCTGCCCAGCATGGTCCTCATGCCCTGCCTGCCACCACAGGGTGCAAATGACAAGGAGGAAAAGGAAAGGTCAACAGCAGCTGCCGGTATTACATGGGCGCAGCCATCTTTGGTCGGCACTGAACCTTTCAGCACCGAGTACTTAGATTGGTCGGATTGCAGCCGGAGGAAATGATCTTTGCATGCGATTGGCTAGCGCTCCCCCCTCCCCCATCCCAGGCAAGTCCCGAGACGAAGGAGAGCGGGTGGCAAGGAGACCCCTGGCAAGGGTCGCGGTAGGAATCTGGAAGCGTCTGATTCTCTGTAGCGTCGGGATCGCGAGCCGAGTCAGCTGGTCCTGCCTAGTGCTCCCGGGACGGGGCCGAGCTCTAGGGGTTTTGTTTTTGTTTTTAGAAAGGGGGTGTAAGTGGGGAGAAGAGAATGGTCAGAATACTGACTGGAACATTAATTGGAGCATTTCAGATTCGAACAGCCAAATAATTTCATATTTGCTCCAAATTTCATTTGCTCCATTAGGCTAACTTAATTTTTGAATTTTCAGTTTTGAAATCGGCCAGTGTGTTTGGCAGAATCTGGCTGAATTTAGGGGTGACAGTTTAATCCAATCCAAGTGCATTTTAATTAGGGCAAGAAACAACCACATGTTTACAATGGAATTTCTGAAGATCTGTGTACTTAGAAGAAAGGCATGTACTACAGTTTGCTTCTGGAGAAGACAAGTTGTACAAAACCCTTCGGTTAGAAATATTAGTACTACCTCTCCAAGGAGCACTGTCATGCCTGCTTGGGTGATAGATAAATATGGGAAGAATGAAGTGCTTCGATTTACTGAGAACATGATGATGCCTATTATACACTATCCAAATGAAATCATTGTCAAAGTTCATGCTGCGAGTGTAAATCCTATAGATGTCAATATGAGAAGTAAGTTTTTGAAAGATTCCTTGTTAACACCCTACCGCCCCCCCCCCCCCAAGTTCTTCATGGAATTTAGAATTTCACCAGGGATCAGTAGTTTTAAAAGATCAATTGTTACTTGACTACACTGCTTTGGTTAACACAAAAGAATTGTTTAGATTTTTGACAGTATCTCAGCAGGTATTTCCAAAAATTTTGAAATTGCAATACCCAGGATATACTTTAATCTTTTACAAAATATAAGTTTGAATTGCTTCCATGCTTTCTTAAAATGTGAGTTGGGACTTGAGAGCTGTGTCCACAGCTAACTTTTTGGTATACTTTCCTGGGAACTTTGTGATATTCCAAGGTACAGCACAGGTTTTAGAGGTATGGATATGTTTTCACATCAGTTCAGAATTTGCATTTTTATAATAATTCTTTGCTCTCCCACTGTTCACAGCTTTCTGTATTAGTCCAGTGGACAAAACAGCACAGCAGGATGCCAGGATATGGACACAGTGCTTTCTTCATTTCTGCTGTTGCATTCTGCCCTTGCAATTAAAATACACTTTTCCGTTATGCTCCATCCTAAGTGGGAATAATGTTATCATCTTAGTTTTATCTGGGATATATTGACACAGCTTGGAGAGCACTATATTCCTTACATATATACATACTATGCAATTATTATAATGCAGAAAATATGGATTACTACTTGTGAATTACTTTAACTTTGGAAAATAATGACAAAAATATTGCTTATGGGAACTCATCCATGTCTTCAGAAAAAGTCAAAAAACATCTTCTGGGATGATTGGCCAGTTAACCTCAGAGTTCTAAGTAAACTGCTATACGTGTTTTAATCATGCATGTGTGTTTTGAAGGCCATGTGTGTAGAACTATAGTTCTACTCATCAGATTGCCTCAGTAACAATTGTTGTATATGAACTATGTGTGATGAATTAAATTTCTTTGTTCATATATATATATCCAATTACAAAATTAAGATTAATGATAGAATGAATCATGTTTTGGAATTTATAGGGAAATATGAAAGTGTTGATACTTTGGCTTCTTTTAATTTCTTCCTCGTTTCCAGGAGTTGTGAGATGAATTAGAATAGCAATTCTCAAATTTTTTGGTCCTAAAATCTCTTTACATTCTTAATAATTATTAGGCTGTTGTTTATGTAAGTTATAGCTATAAATATATACCTTATTAGAAATTAGAACATTTTAAAACACTTAATTCATTTAAAAATACAGTAAACTTTTGTGTTAACATTACAAAATTAAATCAGGATAAAAATATAAAATGACATAAAAATAATGACTCAGAGATAACTATATATGTGAGGTACTGAAACAGGTAGTATTCATAGAGCATAGGATCTACCTTCAAAATGCTTACAGTGAAAAATAACCATTTTCCAAAATAAGCAAAAAAAGAATTAATGCTAAGAGTAGCATTATTTACACTTTTACATATCTCTTTGCTTTCTGGTTTAATAAAATACTGGAACTTCATATGTATTTCTGCATTCATTCACAATATGTTATTTGAAGTAAGTGGAGAAAAGCCAGCCTCACATAGGTAGTTGGGAAAGAAAGGACCTCTGAGACTCCTCAAAAAGATCTTGAGGACTTAAATTTTGGAGAACAACTGGGTTAGGGAAATAAAGTCTAGTTTCACTGTCTTTAGGTCTTTTGACTCCAATTTTTAATGCTGCTATTTTTAACATAGTGAATATATCTAGTAGCCACTGGCTGTCCCATATAGTAGCCACTAGCCACATGTGGCTATTGAACAATTGAAATGTGGCTGGTTTGAACTGAGATTTGCAGTTAGTGTGGAATACACACTGGATATCAATGACTGAGAAAAAAAGAATGTAAAATGTCTCAATTTTATATTGATTGCATAGTGATCTGATAGTATTTTGGATATATTAAGTAAAATATTAAAATTTCACTTGTTTGTTTTTACTTTTTTAGTGGCTACTAGAAAATTTAAATTACACACATGACTTTCATTATATTTCTTTTGTACAGCACTGATCTAGACAATACAAGGAATAACTATAACATTACTCGTTTGTTTGGTGGGGAAGGGGTTTGGGGAAAGACTTGGAACTCTTAAAGTGTATGTAGCTAGAAAGCTCTATTAAGAAGAAATTGAAATGATTTACCATGAATGCCTGATTAAATCAACATATGTACAGCTTGTCCTCAAATACCATTGTTTTGTTCAACATTGGTTGATGAGATGCACTAGGAACTTCTGTTTATTCAAATAGCCTATGGTTAAATTGGATTCATTGGGTTGTCGGAAAAGTCATGCCATATTTTTTCTGTTTTTCGTTGCAAAAATACGTCATGACTTTTCCGACAACCCAATCAATATTATACTTATATATCATTACACTTAAAGTTGTAGAACGTATCCATGATGTTAAGTGAGAACTCACTGTATTTTTTTTTTGCTATGAAGTAATAATTGCTACTACTAGTCGGGCATTTTTATTCTATTTACATTGGGCCTGAAGATCATTTAGATTTTACAGGATAAGTTAGTCTTTTAAGTGGTTGGTTTATACCCAGTGATCAGTGTGTTTTTTTCATCTCCTTTGAGGATAAGCTCTTTGCAGGTAGATCCTATGCTCTGTCAACCAGTATCTGTTTCAGTACTTCACATATGTAGTTGTCATACAGTCCATATTTTATGTCATTTTACATTTTTATTCTAACTTAAGATTAAAACCTAAAGCTAGTAGTATTTTATCCATGAATGATTTTCATTTTGTCTTCATTTAGCTCTGTTAACTATTCATTTCTTTGAATGCTGCTGTAATTTGTATTGTGTGCATTTTAATTTCAGTAGAATGGCTGGATCTGTCTTTGCAGATGTTTAATAATAAAATATTGTAACACCTTTTACTTTTATATATAGTACGCATATTCTCGAGACATCTTAGTTTTTTATGACTTAATTGGGTAATATTATTTGCAAGTTATCCTCTTTATTTCCTGCTCATGGATTCTTTTTGGAGAGTGTGTGATTGTTGTTGCAGAAGATATCTGAAATGGTAGCTTGGGGGAAAAATAATGAGTAGAAGATTGTAAACTGTGGGAAGCAGCTATTTCCCTTGACAAGAAAGCAAGGACATGTCTACTTTATTTTGAAAGATGAAAGTAGGCTGTTTTCCTGGAGATGGCCACTATTGTTGGACATAAAGCCATGCATCATATAAATGGCTAAAGAAATTAATAATTAAAAAATATTTAGCCAACATCATTATACCAACAGTTTGATTTCTTTAGATGGGATTTATGTCTTTGAAACTGATGGCAGATTTATGATTTCCAAATCATCCCAACTCTGAACCAGTCAAACTGGCTGCCTCTTAAAACACTGGGATGAAGCTCCTAAGGGTCCCCATTTATTTGTGTCATCAGGCAGGTTCTCAGTTACTACCAGCTGCGTTCTGCATTTGGGGCTAGTTTAGTTGGTACCAGTGAGTCAGGGCTACTCAGTTGGTGCATGAGCGTATCAGGGTGACTAAGAAAACTTGAAACAATCTTGCCCGGAAGGCTCTGCACCTCAGAGAGGACTGAAGCCGTTTTGCAGCTCTGAAACAGCAGCTAAAATTTGACATGGCTAAATGCCCACTTCTGTTTGCTCAAACCATGTAACTATTTTCATTGAATAATTGTTGAATTGTGTTTTAGTGGTGGAAAAGGAATGTAAGACAGGATAAGTAAAACCTGACTTTTGTATCACGGGGAGTTTTTTTCCCCCTGATAAGAGTGCACCCCTAACTAGCCAGATGGCAAATGTATAATATTTGTATGATCAGCTTAGATTTTCCTGGGACTATCCCAACTTTCAAACACTTTCTCCCATGTGTCTTGATTTTTTTTTATTAGAAAAACAACTTCTGCAAGCTACCCACCTGCCAGCATCTCTCCCTAGATCTTCTACCTTCCCTCCTCTTATCTGGATTAACTGTCGCTGTTCCCATCTAAGGCCACTCCTCCACTTGGGTTCTAGATTCCATCCCCTCTCATCTACTCAGGAGCATTGTTTCAGCAATTCTTATGCATCTTCAGTGTTTTCCTTTCTACTGGATCATTGCCATTAGCATACGGACTTGCTATCATTTCTCCTTTCTTAAAGAGGAAAAAAAAATACTCAGAAATCCTCTTCCATCTCCGTTGTTCCCCTCC